TTGAATTGCTGTATGACGACATGAGTGATTGGTAATTAACCGGTTGTTATCAAGATTGATTCCAGTATTTGTTGCAATATCATTTAACATTTTTGCATAACCCATCTGATTACTCTTAAACTAGCAATCCTTTATTAAATTGAGTACATATATATATACAGAGAGACCTCTCTAAATGCACTCTCTATAAATGCACCCTCTATGTAAAATCCCTTTAAATGCACAATTTAGTCTGGTCCCAGCTTATAATAGTATTATATATTTTGCTTTCTATAAATGCACACCCTCTCTAAGTACACACTTTTGAATTTTTTTACTATGGTCCCAAGGGAGTGCATTTAGAGAGGTCCCTCTGTACATACAAAAAAAAAATATTTTATCATTATATACATATACGTAGTTAAATAATTATGCATGTATACATATTTACCTTTTTGCCTTTTACAAGTTTTGTGAAACAATGGATCCTGCAATGAAGTTGAATCGGGTAATTTAGATAAATATAGGAGAATATCTTTAACTGGGGTATATCTATTGTTAGATAAGTCAGAAGGTATGGGAATATGCCGTGAACCAGTTTTTCCATGTTTGTTTCGATAAAAAGCTCCTCCCTGATTATTCTTCTCTTTATTTAGTATAAGCTCCAATCCACCATCACGACAATGTTGAAGATCATTCCTATTAATACGATATGCATCGCCACCTCTTAACCCGCATAATAAACACAACCAAAAGAATATATGACGGTATAACGATTCATTTGAATTGACATCTATGTATGGGTGAGTAAGTATTTGTTCAATTTCTTCAGAAGTTAATCTATCTGATTTTTTTGGGTCACCAAGTCCTTTATCTTGTAAAATTCTCATTTTTCCATCCAGCGTATAAAGAGCATGGGGAAATTTATAACAATCCCAAATTTTTATCGATAGAATAATACTGTGTTCTTTGAGGTATCGGTTAATAGCACTATAACAATTGTGAACTAACTCTACCTTATAATCAGAACCATCTTCTTTCTTTAACCATGTTATGAATTGACACAAGTAGGTTTCAAGTTCACTAATATTATTGATTAATTCGATAGTTTAAGTTTTACCACAACTTTTATTAAATCGGTTTAGTGTTCAAATTCACTTTGTCATATTTCTTTCAGTATTTGTTACAAGCGATGCATCTTGTAATTGGTTTATTTTATCTTGTGTTGGAAGTTGTGAAGCCAAATTAAAATTTATTTTTATTTTTTTAATACAATGCAAATTCAGTTTCTCATAAGTATAGAAAAGAGTTCAATGAAGAAAGTAAACGAATTATGTAGTTGTTATAAATATATATATATATATATATATATATATTTTTTTTTTTACACAATATGAATCCCGGTTCTGTTAAATGTGAGAAAGATTTTGGAAAAGAAAGTGAGCAAAAATGTAAACAATGATTAGAAAGTGATCATATATATATGAAAAAGGTCGATGCTTACGTCAGAAGCATCAGATAACCGTGTTATCAGTTAAATTACAAATGACAAATCTGATTATCATCGGGATTTATAACGTGGAGCCTATGCCACAAAGTGGCACGGGCTTTGTATTATATCCCAATGATAATCAGTTATCGTCTACAACATAACCATAACAAGTATGTATTCATGTATGATCTACATCTACTTGGTAAATACTAATTAGTACATATATATATGAAATTAATAGTTTTGCATATTTATTAAATTTGTAATTTTTATTTCATATTTATTAAATTTTCTCCCAAAAATAACCAGACTTTGCTTAGATTTAATCTAATTGGAGTTACAGTAAATAGTTTTTAAAACTGGGAAGTAAGAAAATATTTTAATTTTTATATAAATTTTAACTTATTAATCTTCACAATTTCATTTTCAATCTAACTTTTAGCATATAAAGATGCTCTTGAAGTTTCTGGATCAAGACAGCTTTGAATACGTGATATTGTATTTGTTGCAACCGAAAAGCCTGCTCACAAGCAATGCTAGTAGCTTGAATTAATAAATAATCACTTGACATATGTGCTAATGTTGGAAATTTCTTTTCGTGTGCTTTTCACCATAATAATGGCATAACATTTTTATCACAAGGCAAAGCTAAGTATCACTCTAATTCATTAGCAGAGGTTCGATTTGTTTTATAACCTGATTCTAAACAACATCGTTTAAGTCCCTTAAAGTAATTACGTGTTGTACTAATATCATCTTTATTAATATACAGGTTGTAAGCTTGCTTATCAGTTAATGTAGTATGATACTGATTGAATACTTCTCTAACTTTATTAACTGCATCAGTGGTTTCCTGTCCTATTTCAAAGAGCAATAATTTGGTTTGTAGGTCAAGAATTGATGCAACAGTAATATCATCATTAATTATATGTTTATATTGGTCAATTTTTTCATTAATTGATGCAGCTAACATATACTGGCCAAATTCACTATCTTCCACATATTCTTCAAGATATTCTTGAATGCCACTAAATAAGAATCAAACATTCGCGATTGTTGGATATAACGTTGCAGACAGTAATTTTGTAGCTCTTTCCAATGGTTCCATTAAGATAAGTATTTCTTATTTAAATTAATATAAATAAACATTAGACTATGCAAAATTAATTATTGTTTTTTATGACTTGACTAGATCAAAATTAGGAAACTTCTAAACCTTAATTTTTGTTCACGCATCTGGTGTAGGCATTAAATTTTGAATCTCATCATAATTAATAGCTAGCATTAATGCAGATTGCATTCATAATATTTTATTTAACATATAGTATATACTATTCCATCTAGTCATGATATCTAATTCTGGTTTTAGGTAATCTAATTTT